TTTTTTGTCCAGGACAAAAGATCTGCGGATACAATCAGTACCTCATAAAATAAGCTAAATTTTTTTGTGCGTGGTTTTTTGGTGTGTTGTTGCGTCAACAAATGCGATAGCGATCCGAAAATTGCCGCTAACTGGTTACAGAATCTCCCCCATTCTACTGCTGCTACCTGTTTAATATGCTTTGCTCCACACAGAATATTCAACGTGAAATGCTTTGAGAAGCTAAATGGTAATGAAATTCCTTTTAGAAATTTTAAAAATAATCAATAACGTCTAATTTCGATTCATACCCACAAATACCCAGTTTTTCTACGCAAAATTATATCTTTAGAAACCATCTATATATGTACATACATACATATGTGCTCTTCGATTCGAATCATAAGCGTCCAGATCTAAAAATAAAAACTGGTTCATGGGCATGTCATTTTTATCAGCTTTTAAGGCGCCAAAATACCAAATACGGTCATGCTTTAACGCGGCTATTGTGAGTAGGTCATAAACAAGCATTATTGCATGAAACTCTGTAAGAGAAATATAGCTAACAATTACCGTTGATTTTTAGAACTTTTTATGTGAAGGCTGTTGCGAATTTTCTTCCATATAACGCATAAACAAAACTGACTTTTGTGTGGAAGAAAATGCGCAACACCCTCCCAAAAAAATATAAAAAAAAATCTAAAAAATAAATGGTAGTTTTTAGCGACCTGGAACTTGCACTTTATTATACATAGTAAAATTGAAAGGGATAAAAAACTGCATACTCAAAACCTTTCTAGGAAAAATCCAATAAAAAATCGAAATTTCGTTGAACATTTTTTAAGTTTAGTTGTTGTTTGTGAACTTTGTGAAAGCTTTGGAACAATTATTTATGATGTGTCTGATATAGATCGACCCATATTCTAAATGAAAATTATTAACAATAAATAAAGATAAGTTGCCAACAGCATTATTTTGCATTTTGCTACCATCATTTTGACCGCAACTGTATCTTTTAATTTGTTTTCTACGATGACATTTTTTTCCACCTGCAAAACTTGGCCCACTGTAATGTACATACATACAATTTCATATTTGTCAACCGAACGTTTTAGATGACGGCGTTAAGCTGCCTTTACACGGGTCGATTTCTGTCGACTGAAAAATCGACTGACAAAACGACACGGTAACAGCAGCTTTATGTAGATATTTAATGATGTCATTAAAGTAAAAATTCTTGAGATCGTTGCGCTAAAATAATTATTAAACAAACAAAAAAAAATATACAAAATTCTACATTCTTATGGACTTGTTTACAAAGTTACCCACATACTATACACACAATTTCATTTTCTATATAAGCATATTATTTTATAACTAAGCTGAATACACACATATGAACAGGCATACGCATATGTATGTATATTCATATACACAGTTTACGTAGGTACATATTGAGGTTTATCTATATGTACATACGTGAGTGGGAGCTTTAAGAAATCAATTATTAAGAGGTCAAACACGCCAAAAAACATGGCAAATAATTGTGGCTGCCTTTACCACCTACAAACGTGTTTATAATCTAATATATGGGGGACACATACAGATCTATGAGTGCGAGTGACTGTGAGTTTATCGCTGCATATGTGTACATTTATGTACTATGCAAGTATGTGTGGATGTGTGTGCACGTATGCGTTCACATCTTCTCTCTTAGTTTGTACTCTTTACACAAACACGATCATTGTATTTACAAAATTTATCAGATCACCTAGAATTTGTCATCAGTGAGCGAATGTAAAGGCCTTCATTACAATAATAAATTGGTTATTATTTATCAATTAGCATATGCTCGAATGTACATACATACATACATACATATATACATATCTATAAATTGTATTTGGCATGCACGTGTGTACCTACTATGTACGTACTACGTAGGTGTCTTCAGACCTTACATATGTACAACCCCTACCCCTTAACCATCTGTGCTATAGGTTTCTCTCCTAATCGAAACATACGAACATAAATATTTCTTTCGGTGGAACGTGCCTCATGCAGCTGTAATATTTTTATTGGATTGCAAAGTGCAACAATGCTTAGTTTAGAATGCAATTACAGGGAATTGAAGCCGCCACAAAGATCCCGACGATGATATGGATTTTACGGTGTGCGGAGGTCAACATCGCAACCCAGGCGGTTGAAATATTCCAGATGAGCAATTTTGCCGCAAACGGACGGACAAAGCACTTATACAACTTCATCTGAGCAATGAATAGTATCTACATACGTCTTCCAGTGATAAAGCAACTGCCAATACAAACATCTGGGAGAGCACCTTGAATTTCTCAATTTGAAAGCAATCACGAAAGAGAGGAATACATATGTATGTACAATTTTAGCGAGTGTGCGCGTGTGGATGACATCACTTCGACTGGGTACAAAAGTCAGACAGACAAATGCATATGTGTTAACATAAGCTAAGTCACTACAAAGCATTCAAATGAAACACCTTTACACAGACTAAAGTCATGAAGCCTACAACATCCATGTGCACATTTATACTAGTCCGAGTTGACTTCGAGGGATCACACGATTTGTACATTTTTACAGATTTTTACAGTTTGTCAGTCACAGTGTGGTGTTGTCTAGAAATTTGTATCGAGAATGAGTTCAACTCAATAACAATTTTCCAAACAACCCCACTCTGTAACTGTGAAAATGTACAAATCGTGTGATCCCTGCTTAAGAGCTGATTCGAAGACTAATTAAACTGATTCAAAGACTAACTAATCAGCAATTGTATCCCATGGACACTAAACTAGGTCTAATCTCTTTAGATATTGGTTTTACTGGGATATGTGTCTCACTCTCCAATACCATCAAGGAAGACCTACTCATTTCATTTGCTGCAAAACCTCAAGACAACACGTATGCATATACCAAACATACATATGTACATATATATGCACATTCATACCCTGCAGGGAAAGCCACACGTAGTGAATCAAAAGCAGTTCAGTACTACATAGTTTTTTATTGCCAAAAACAAACCAGTCCGATAGTAACTAAATCTCTTAGAGTGAACATTTGCTAAGCCCACTTTTCTAAACAATTACATATATCTTTATGCAAGAACAATTAAAGCCGCATTTTCCAAAATATGGAACTACCTATTTTATTTCTAACCGTTTCTATTACGTGATACGCAAATTTAAAAAGACCCCAATAGTCACTATGATAACTCCCAAATAATAAAAAAAAACTATTCAATAGAAATCTATGTATATCTATAAGAACTCGTTCGATGCTACAGAAAAGGGGCCCACGGGGCCCCGAGCTATATTTTTTTTACTTTAAATTGATTTTTTGTGCCTTTTTGTTTACAGATGCTTTTCACACTCAAGCTCTGCACACCCAAGAACTGGTTGGGAATAGTTCGGGATGCAAAGCGAATTAGATCTAAACTGCGGAATTTATAATTGGTGCGGAACTAAAGAAAAGCTAATGCAGTTGAAGAAAATGGTCATTTCCTATGGCGTCTCAGTGTAAAATTCGCCAAGTGTTTGCATGCAAAAGTGATTTATAGCGAACTAATAGTAGTTCTAAATGTACTGGAACCAAACCAATTCAGAACTAGAGATTTTCCTACAGGGTATTTACATACTTACACACATAAAAATACACATACATACGTATATACATACTTACGTGGATTCATATGGGTGTGCATAAATACAGACGTTTATTATTGGAGAACACCGGGATTGCTTCAATGTATGCGTTTAAGCCAATGATCCGGTACACTTAGAGAAATTGCAATTCTGCATAGCTATTCGATGACACATCACGAATCAATGAGCGGGTTTTCAGTCACTACTGAGCACGAAATTTTCATTTGATCTGCATTTTTCAGTTCAACCTATAACATTACAAAAGGGTCTATCCGTTAATTTATGTTTGGGTAGAACCCCACAATAAAGTTTAAAGTTGCAAAAAGTTATGAATAGAGCTCGAATTTCTATGCTAAAGATAAGCCTAAAGATT